GAGTTATTGATAATTATATACAAATATGGCATTCATCTGTAGAAAATACTAGTAATTCTGTTTTAGAACTTTATAAAAATTGTAAAGAATTATATTCATACGAAAACTATCTTAACATATTACCAAAGGATCTTAGATTTTACATCACAAGAATTAGAATGTCTGCACATACACTAAGAGTACAAACGGGTTATATGGTCAGAATAAAACCCCAAGGAGTGAAAGATATTGTTTATGTTGTAAAAAGATGAATATTGTTTGGTTTTATTAACCTGTCAATTACATACTGATTACACGGTCGATGCACACAGTATATTAATCTTCGGTAGATGTTCGGTTAGTTCCGTGAGATGTACGCTATACGATGGAATTTAATTTAATTTGTATCGCTAAACTAAGTGTACTCAGCGTTATAGCACAATAGCGTAAATCACGAGTTTATAATCTAGGTGCAACACGTGTTTTAAGTTCGAGGCCGCGTTGGTCCATGTTTTTTTCTTATTAATACTTTCAACATTATTGAATCTATATATGATTATTTTATGTTGTTCGTTTTGTTTATGTTTTACTTAATTTTGTTATGTATATACTCTTTTTAAATAACATGTCTTTTAAGAATTCATGTTTAAAATTAAAACGGATTAAAATCAATAAATGTCTTTTCAATGCCGTAAAACATACTACAAATCTGTTCCATTAAAATATACTGCAAAAATAAAGAAAGAGTACTAAAACAATGGTAACAGTACGGATCGAACCACAGATCTCTCAATTATCAGTCATTCTCTTTACCGACTGTCCTATTGTGAATTAACGAAAACCTTTACATTAAGCTGGCGTGACTTTCAATCCATGACTAATATACTCCACATTAATTCTCGTAAACTACACGGACCATACCGAAGTGGGATCGAATATATTTAAATGAGTCCTATAATGTATTCATAATTGACAGGTCAATAAAATCAGACTATACCATTTTGTTTTGATATGCCCATGCTATGTTGACATAAGGAAAAATATATGTGAAACGATATTATTACAAATGTCCGTCAATGTGTAGATATTGGACTGATTTCTTCTAATAATAAAATTATACTCACTAATCTAGCTAAATATTTGAGAGAATCGATTAAAATCAGGAACATTATTGTTAGTACTAACAACTGAATTTTGAAATTTTGTTACACATTTATACTAAAAATTCAATTGATTTGTTGTATACTCTGCGTAACAAATTGTTTTATATTAAAGTGTTAATAATATTCTCTTAAATCATTATTGTTCATTCTCTAGCTTTACATGAAATTCAATAATATATATAAAATCCTATATTATTTGTTAAATAGAAACGTGACATCTTTACAATTTGTGTATTTATATTGTAGTGATGATGCACTATGTACAAATCCAAAATAAAATTCTGTTCTGTTCTGTTCTTTACACAGTTTTATATCTTATGTTTTAACTATTTTTATTCTATCATTCTAGACAATTTGGATAAGTCTAATAATCTAATGTCAAAATGCAATAGATTTCACTTATCAAAATGGTTTTAAAACACAAAATTTACTTAAATACTAAGATAACATATTCAAAGAGAAAATTAAAATGAGGTGTAAACAGACCAGACTTCAAAATTGCATTTGATATAGATGTTAATCATATCTTTTCCGACCCTTAACCATTTGATTCTTATTATAACATATTAAATTTGCTTCAATTGTTTTCTTTTAAATAAAATGTTGTGTAGCTTGATAATCTACCTTCACGATAGTATGTATATTTTAAGTAATGTTTTCCATGTTGTTGTCAGCATTTATAGAAAAGTTGTTGTATAATTAGTTAGAAGATGGATAGACACGTGACTTCTACACAAGGGGTAATGGGCTGTGAGAGAAAAATGTTTTTTACGTAGATATATCTTATTGAATGAATGAAAACAAAACAATTGGGTGTCTTTCAGGTTTGGTAATACAACAGAAATTGATATATCAACACAAATTTACATCATTGTTTTACAGCATGATTATAATAAATGCACATACAAAAGTGTTTGCTCATACCAACATTTTCTCAGGCGTTTCCCTACTATATCATTTCAATACTATTTCTTTTTAATATCTTTTTGATAATGTTTTATGGACTTATATATCTTATTTTCAGAGGAAGGGCTAAACATAGTATGGGGTGGTTGATTGCAGAAGACAATATTTAGCGAGAGTCCAGCCTTTTATATTTTGGCAAACATAAATCAATCCGTTGATTGGATGTGGCAAGAGCTTTCCATATTTCCAAGTTAGGAGAGGCTAAATGGGTTCTGTTTGAAAAGATCCAGCATTTTTGAAAAGCAATTAACAGGTAAATCAAAGAAAAACCCTCTATATTTTTAATACACAGTTGGTGTACCAGATTCAATTTTGTGTGCTACTGCATAATTATATAACTTTTCTAAAGGGAATTCACATTTGTAAAAAAGTTAAATGGTTTTCTTTTAAAAGTGTTTTATTTTTAGTGTCCAAAACTGCAGTTTTCTTACATTCTCGGAATTACTAAGATCAGAGATTTGTTTGTTGGTTTTTATGTCACATCAACACTTTACAGGTCATATAATAACTTTCAAGCTTTACTGGTGAAGGAAACAGTGTGACATAGGTATTATTTTTAGCGCGTAGAACCACCAATATTCTATAAAGCTAGTTTGGGTAAGCTATGTCAGATAATAGATTCCAAAACCCAGACAGGACTCGAACCTACATCGTTAACACCGTGAGAAGCAAGTGTTTTGAAGTCAGTGACCTTAAACACTCGACCAAAACTTCCAATTTAGTTATCTGTATGAAAGTATAGGTGCTGTTTTGTTCAGTATTTCCTACTTATATGGCACATTATGATGTTTCACAGTCAGCGCTTCTTTCAGCCGATAGGCAATTTACATGCTTTAAATTTGTTATAACAACATAACATGAAACATATTTTCTAAAGAAGAAAGCTGAGGCACGTTTTTGCTGAGGCTAAACGTGCCTCATTAATGTATGAATTATTTCAGGTACGTATGTTAATATACGTACCTGATTATTTGTAGATAATTCAATATAAAAATATATATCTAAAAGCACAATCTATCTTGCTTTTCATAGTACATGTACCTACATTTTCAGTTTGACATAAAATTGTTTTATTTTAAAAGCAGAATGCAAAGTTCGCATTTTTATTTATCATATTATGTTGTAACAATTTTACAGATACGAAACAATGTGTCTCTGTGAAAAGGGCAGGCTAAAGGTTTCAACAGCACCGGCCGAAAAAGTGGAGATATAATTTCAGCATTGAACAAGGGCAGGGCAATATGTATATATACACGTGTAGCGTTGTCAGACTATATGGATAGTCGGGTCTCTGTGACAAAAATGATGAGATAACATTGTGTTTTTTCAGTGTCTTAACATTCAGTTCAAGATTCATTTTATTTTAAAATGTCTTTTTACTTACAAAACTTCCATGGTAAAGTAAGTGCAATTTAGCACTGGTAAGATATTTAATTGAAGGATTGATTTTCAGAACAGAAATGCAAATACAATGTATATAAATAATAATTATAATAATTATTTGTGTAAAATGTATTGCAATTTTGAATTATAATATGAATTTAGATAGATTCATACAACTTTAATCTTGGTAGAGCTAATTTGTTAGAATATTAAATGGAATCTGACTTAAAGTAAAAAAAAAAAAAATATCATTAGTGGGTGGGGCAATGTTTTATACCAGTCTAAATGATGATGTATTATGTATGCAGTGTTGCGACTTTTTGAATGTAATCAACATTGGTTGAAATGTTTTGGATTAAATAAAGCATGTTTGTGTGTTAATGTGTTACTTTGTTAATTACCATATTTGCGTAGAATATCTGGGTTATTTAACTTCACAGATTATTCTAATTGAAAACACATGATTTCAAAACATGACATTTTTAGCATGTTATACTTCGAATTTTTTTGAGGACTTTTTTCCTGTAGCAACACATATATAGTAGATAACAAATATGCAAATATCTTTTCTGAAGGAATTTGTTTGAGGTTGGGTCTTATTTTTGGCTAAAATGCCTAGCCTATAAGGTATTCTCCAAGTTCATTTATATGGTTCTCTCCCTTGAAACTTGTCCTAAGGTAGCACTCCACACTAAATTTCAAGTTTCTGCCGTCAGTGTCCTACAAGCAATATGTCTGATAAATCTGATCCCAAACTACACAACCTGGAAAAAGAAAACACATTTTGTTAAGAACATATATGTCATAACATTGCAAATTTATAATGAAATCATCCCATGTGCAACAGTCAGGCAGTTAAAAAAATTCCAATTCATTCCGTAAAAGCCAAAAATCTATAGTGGTCCGAGACCCAAAACAACATATTTCGTCCTGCCGGCAAAAAATACCTGCAAATATATGGGCTACAGCAACTGTGTCACTGCTTTAGCAACTCCCTATACATGCAAAATATCCCAAAGAAATAGGTGCTTGGCCTTGTAGAATTTTTCCTATTGCTGAAAGTTTGTACCCCCGTGTAAAATTACTTGTTTTCATCGAGCATGCTGTTCAAAAGCAGTGTTTACAAACAATGGCGGCCTTTACATCTATAATTAACAGCATGCGATTTCTAACCATGTTTTCGAATTTGCCAATGATCATATTACATGTCACAAAAACAAATTTCATGCTGAAAATGCATTTTAAAGACAACCAGACATTTAAATCCACAATAGTCACTATATCCATGAAATCCTCCCTGGCCATTCGAAGCTGTGTGGTGTGCTGCCTAATCATCAGTCAGTTACTTCCCTTAGCTTATCATTGATTAATAAGATGATTCTCTCCCTTGAAATTTAAATTTGTTTCATATGCATCAGTGAGTTACTTCCCTTAATTAATCAATGCATAAATAAGAGAGTATTGGAGAAAATGTCTGTATTAAGAAGTAAGAGAGAGATATTGATTTTAGCAGGAGGAAATTATCTATGAGACTAGGGCATTTCTCTGTTGACAAGAATTTTGTGATCATTTATCAATACTTCTGTATTGTGAGCTTATCTGGATACACACAAATTTATGTTTCCATGTAAGGTATGAATAGATGTATATGTTAATTATTTATACATGTTTTATATATGATGCTATGCAGCTGTAACTGTAATGATGATGATAGTTCATATATAGAAGCAGTTTCACGGTGTTTATTGGAATGTATTGTGTAGAGAGTACATGGGATGTAGTAACATATGTTATAGAAAATCAGCGAGTATGAAGTTATAATGGAATACGTTAATGGAACGTTTTATACATGTACAGTGTTACTTTAAATATTGAACTTTCAGTAACCTCATAAGTTCATTATGCATCCAAGATATTAATTAATTAATAAGCATATATATGCATCCAAGATATTAATTAATTCATTAATAGGCATAAAGGTATAATTATCTGAAAAGAAAAATATGTAAAAAGTTAAATAACAGTAAAATTACATCGTTTTCAGAATCTTACAGTAATTGATGGCATACATGTAAACTTTTTTCGACGATCAAGTGGGAGATTTTTCTTCAAAAAGAGGGAGATTTTAGAATTTGCAATAAACAAAGAAGAAAGTTCTGATATTAAAATAGGGAGATTTCTTTAATTTGTTAAAATACCACTTATTTTTAGAAAAGTCTTTGAAAATACTGTATATACATGTATATAATTATGATACAATTTCATTTACTAATAATTCAAATTTATTGATTTCTGATTCCCAATAGATGTAGTGATAACTTGTGATAACACAAAATCTGTGCAATGTGGAGGGGAGATCTGTCTGAAAACATAGTAAAACAATGAGGGAAAAATCAATATTGCTGTTCATTTGGTCACTGAATATTTGACACAATTTTACAATAGGATCCTGCTGTTAGCTTTATATATATATTATATAAATGTTATTAATAATTATATATGTATACATGTACATTTGTGTTTGGTGTTTATATCAGCTGTGAATAATTGATCTGATAATCAGAAAAATCAGACACCATGCTTTCATAATGTTTCGTGAAAAATCCGGGTTGAAAAATACTATAAAAGTCTGAGCAACAGATCATTTGCCTTTCACCTGAGTAACTGTAAGTTTAAGCCCTGACAGCGTCTTTGGATTCTTGTAACATGTGGTTGGTTCTACTCAGATGTCATTTTGTGCCTGAAATAATGCACAAAGGAGCACCCGAGGTCTTCATCCACCAGTAAAGTTGGAAATTCGCTATATGACCTAAAAACTGTGTTGCTGCGACGTAAAACACAACCCAAGAAAACCCTATAAAAACACATTTTTTTTCATATCTTATACTAATTTAGTAGCATGTTAAAGGCCCATTATGCCTCAGAAATGCCTTTTAGCTCTCCAGAACCGAAGATTCAGGGTGAGCTATTGGTATCAAAGGGGGATGCTGCGGCCTCCGTCGTCATGCGTCAACAATCGTAAATCGTCATGGCCCTCTTGTATTGTTTATTTCTAAAAAGATTTTTTTTTTTTGTGTATATTAATAGTTTCAAAAAAGTTCATTGGCCAGTTACCTGAACAATCTGTTTCTTATGTTGTTTTTTGGCAATGAGTAAAGTTTTAGTGACCGAGAATTTTGTATGGAAGTCAAAATACTACTTTGTTTACATTTTGGTAAATTTATGATAAATAACTGAATAATTATATCTACTTTCCTCTGGTAGGAAGCATTTAAAACGTTCTTAAACCATTATTTAAATGGTATACTACTCAATTAGTTGCCCTTTATAAAGAAATAAAAGTATAATTAAATTTCTGAGGCATAATGTGCCTTTAAATGTTCTCTAGTGGTTTAAAATTTGGCCAGTGAGATTTTTCTATTTTTTTATTATTTTTTGGCTCATTTAATCTGCAGTAAATTGTCATGAATTACCATCCCAGTAAAGGCACATTATGCCTCAGAAACAAATAAATGTTTACTTCTTTAGAAAAGGAAAACATTAATTTTTTATAATGTTTAAATAATGATTTCGGAGAAATCTTAGATGCTAGTCACCTGAAAAAGTAGCGATAAGTCATAAAAGTAGCAAAATGTAAACAAAGTAGTATTTTGACTTCCATACAGATAACTAATTCTCTATAACTGTACTTATTGTCAAAATGCAATGGATGAAAATGATGGCTCCAGTTATTGGCCATGGAGTAACTTTTTGGGTACTGTAAAAATACACCAAAATCAATAAGATTATGAGAAATAATGATAGGCATAATGGGCCTTTAAGAAACCCTTCAGTATTTCAGAAATTATATCTCAGAAAAGTGCATCTGACATCACTGTAAAGCCTTCTTCAAAACAGCGTCCCAACAGCTATTTATAATGCGTCTATGACATTGTTCTAAAAATAGAAAATTTTAAAAACAAATCGCCAAATTTACTAATTTAAATACAGAGAGGGGATTCTATAGATTAGAGGAATGGGGGTGTTTCCTTATCGTTTATGTATTTTATCATAGGCAAATTTCATTTTTTTCATCTTATTTCTTTTGATTTGATAATAGTATGAAACGATATTTCTAAAAAAAACATGATTATTTAACCTTTAGAAAAGCTGAAGGTTACTATAAATGCTTTGTCTGTTGTATATATTTTCCTATAAGGTTTATCAAGGAGCTATAGATAGGTATATTTGTTATAAAAATATTCTGGTTCATTACAAGTAGAGAAAAGTAATTTAATGGACATGCCATTTCTATTTGACAAAAAGAGTACATGTTTTTGTAAAGGTGTGTGGAAAACGTGTTGCATTGTATGTAATAAATGGCACCATATGTTGTGGGGGGAGGGGCAAAATGCATTTATGAATATAATGTTCAAACAGTTCTATGAACATTCCTATATGTTTGAATAAAGTGCTATTCAATCTTATACACAGACATATGTTATAAAATAATACCATAAATGACCTTAAAATTGCCTTAAAAACTTGTTTCCAATTATCTAAACTCTCTCTCTTATGTTAAGTTTTCAGATAAAGAGTAGAGAGAAAGCATCAAACGCTGATTATTTTTTAGTATTGTTGCTGAAAATTAAACCTTGTATTTAATTGTTAGTTGTTATAATGGTGTGTTGTTAGTAAATCAATAAGTTTATGACAATTTTCTATGAGCATGCTGTTACCATCATATAAGATATATAAGACCACTAACTGATGGCAGTTCTAGGTATATTATTATATTATACGGATCAATGTTATTTCAGATATTACACAAGTGGACGTCATCGATGCAGGTACACAGTGCGTGAGAGAGGATAATCATTACACACTCGCTACCAAAGTCTCTTGTGAAATGGAAGTTAGGAACTTGACTGGCCTGCTAATTTCTTTGTAAGGGACATAATACTAGCTGAAAGTAATTGACATTGATGTTTTGATAATTTTCGTAAAGTGTCAACATTTTTTCTGGAAGTATTCATTTTCTGGAATATTAACGATAAAATGTGGTGAAATATTTTGAAATTGACACTTACAAGCAGAACAGAGTGGGTGAAAGGGCTAGCTTGGACTGTAGAAAGAGGTATGTTATTGCAGTATTCTGATAAACTAATTTTTATTTTCTTAACCTTTATATCAGAGATACTTAATGGGGCTTCCCTGGTCTTAGAATTATGTGGGTACAAACAAACATTTACAGTATCTATGTAACGATCATTCTATTGTGAACATTAGTGTACTGTTAAGCTACAAGGGTACTGGCTATGTTTGAGTTTGAGATAAAATAGGAAAGAAACAACTTTTGCAGAGTTTCAGATAACATCTATTAGTTCAGTGTACGTTAGCAGGACAGATAACTTTTGAAGAGACCTCTCTGAAAGTGTTCCAACAGGTGGCACACTTGAAGTGACCCCTCTAAAAGAGTGTTGAAAGACACCTCCCTTAAAGAGTATTAAGAGGACGGTGACTCTAACTTCCACGTTCGGAACACCGTTCATCGCCAATTAAGGTATACAATATATAATACGCGGTCACACAAATGCAGTAAAATCATGCTGTGACACTTAGATTTGGGCCTGAAAATGTAAATTTAACAAACCAACCAGTATAATGAAATTGGGCTGAAAATCATATGTAAATCATGTTGGATCACATATCATCATGGTTTATTAGATAATATATACATGTATATATTATATATATAAGTATATCACCTTATTTTTTTATTTGTTATCATAGTTTTTACAACAGTAGCCAATGTTTTAAGACCATGATTTTACATGTTTTGATATTTTTCGGGCGCTTAAATGTGAGTGTTGTTAATTTTAAGACTAATCGTTTCCCTTCCTCTCCCATAATAGACTTACTCTGGAATTAAGGATATTTGGGTTTTTCCCAGCTTAATCCTTGCCTTGGGTACAAACTTTTACAGTTACAGCTCCAAAATAAGCGCAACAGGTTGACTAATCAGTATTGTTACGGGTAATGCACCATGAAGCTATAATGGTAAAAGTTTGTTTGTACCTATGGATCTGCCAGATAAAACCCACACTTGCCAAGTTCCGGATATCATCTATTTTACTTCTACAACTGGATTATTTAACAGAGTTATATATGTACACCACTTTTTTCTCGAAATGAAGAAAGAAGTGTTGAGGCATTACAATATACATTTTAAAGTGTATAAAGGTATATATCTGATGCAAAATTTTTTGTTTGGATTTCAAAAAAAAGAATACTTCCAAAATGATTGTATGAAATAAAAACGGCAATAAATTGCCTTAAAGGGAGTGGCACATGCTCAAAGTAATTGCTTAATGGATAAAATTCTACTTAAAATAGCAAAATAATATTTTGTTCCGGAAGATTTTATTCTGTTGAGGTGTGTTAAATAACAGAGACAATATATGGTACAACTTTTTCAGGAAACAACCATATAATAATGGAACCAATATAATTTTATTGTTGATAAATTTTATAAAAATATTTCTTAAGGTATAGATTTAAACCCTTTAACAGGAATAGTCCACAACTGTTTCTCAATAAAGCTGGAAAGGAATTAATAATGCTGTAGAAAATTTTTGATGTAATTTTATGCTGGCTTATATATAAGTACTATAATGTTTATATGGGTAATGACTTTGATAATTAACCACATAATTGTCTTTGACTGTGCAATAGATGGAGGATCAAGTAAAAATTGAGCAAAGATGAAAGAATTCAAAGAATAAAGTTAAAAGACCATTTATTAATTATCTTTGTAAGGTTTGGAGAGAAAAAAGTTAAATGACCGTAGAAAATTATAAGTACTGTGTAGACATAATTATTCTGGGAACTAGGGGACTGCAGACCACCCTATGTGTATAATGATTATACTTAATAAGTCTATATTCTAAATTCCAAGAACATTTTAAGATGAGTGACTTTAATGTACACTTTGCTTATATGTTGCAAATCCAAAAAAAAAAAATGTGGTTTATATAAAATCTGTTTTAATTTTGACACTCTAAAGAAATTTTACTAATATTGTTGCACTTTAATTGAGTCAGTTCAAATCGTTTTTCAAACATACAGTGTTATAAATGAGACATTTAAAATGATATTTGTTCCCTTTTGTTCAAGTTTTCTTCAGTCCTATATTTAATTCTACATCCATTATCTATTGGTTTTAATAATACAGAATTTATTTTATTTTGATTGTGTAGGAAGCTATAAGCTTATAGACAAACTTTTGAATCCGTTCCTGGAACCAACCAGTACTGAGCAATGAGTGTAAAAATTCTTGCTCAAGGAAACAACAACTTGCCTGTGTTGGAACCCATATGTGTCTAGCGATCATTAGATTACTAGTCTGACGCATTAACCACTCAGCCAGGCCATGCCGCCACTTTCTTTTTTACTTTGGTTTTGAGTTTGTCTAGATTATACACTGATGTTCCGTTTTGTGTTGCCTGCTAGGGCAATAAATCACTTTTTGCTAAACTTCAAAAGTTTAGATAAGATGGGGGGGGGGGGGAAATCACATTTGATTAACTGCAAAAGTTTATTTGTACCTTGAGATTAAATTGAGAAATCCCATATTTGCCAAATTTTACAGTATATCTTTTAAGTCACCATAAATTATATAAATCTTATTGTCCTTAAAGCTTATTTCACCAAACTTCTAGGTAACAGCAACATACTTGTACTTGGTGTTTCATTAAAAAGTTTTTTTTTTCCCCTCCTGCTTGCGAAGTTTCAAGTTTCCATTATTGTATTTTTATCCTTCACATCATACACGTTGTCATAGTTACCATTGTCAGAACACTGTGACAATGTTCCACTGTAAATGACAGCTTATTTAATGCTTTCTTAACAAAATATGTTAAAGGGGCCTTGAGCTTTTCTAAAAGTTAAATACATTTTATGTTGTTTTTAGATAAACTGTTTCATGTAATTGTCAAATCAAAAGAATTTATAATAAGGAGGGAAATAAAATTTGCTAGGATTAAATAGTTAATACAAAAACAATAAGGTATCAGGTATGTGATGCATTTTTCCAAGATAAAATTACTGAAAAACTTAGTTTGACACAACACAGAATTGTTTTTCCAACAGAAAATTAAAGCTGAAGGTTGCTTTTAAAATGGGATAGATCTTCTGGGAATAGATAATTATGTGTTAAAACAAGCAGTTTTAGTGTGCACACTAAAAAAAAATCATATAAACATATTACCTTACAGTGAAAAGTAAATTATTTTTGCTTCGATGTAAAAATTAAATGAACATAAGAAGTAACACTTGAAATTTTGCTTCAATGTAAAAAATAAATTAATGTAATTTTACAAAATTTTTAATACTTGTATTATTTTGATTCCATGAAAAATAAATTAATGTAATTTTACAAAAACTTGTAATTTTGTTTCAATGTAAAAAAAAAATTAATGTAATTTTACAAACACTTGTAATTTGCTTCAATGTAAAAAACAAATTTACATAATTTTACAAACACTTGTAATTTTGCTTCAATGTAAAAAATCAATTAATGTAATTTTACAAACACTTGTAATTTTGTTTCAATGTAAAAAAAAGAATTAATGTAATTTTACAAACACTAAGTCTTGTAATTTTGCTTCAATGTAAAAAAAAGAATTAATGTAATTTTACAAACACTTGTAATTTTGCTTCAACGTAAAAAACAAATTTACGTAATTTTACAAACACTTGTAATTTTGCTTTAATGTAAAATATAAATTAATGTAATTTTACAAAAACTGGTAATTTTGATGCAGTTTAAAAAATAAATTTACATTATTTTACATAATTATATAATTTTGCTTCAATGTAAAAAATAAATTAACATAATTTTAACACTGTTAATTCTTTGACAAAGTCTTCTTTAACAACAACAACAACAACAATAAATTTACAATGCTTTGAATTTGTGATATAAAGCTTTTATCTTTCCATCAATATTGACAGTAATGATTTAAGGACTTTCTCTCTATTTAAATCCTTTATCAGTTTGAGTATGTTTTGTTAGGTTTGTAGCTATGTTTTGTATGGGGATATAGGTGTACAATGTATACATTTTACAGTCAATTGTATTATAAAAGATAGCTGGTTTAATGCAGTAGATATCATTATGTGTGTTTAAACTTAGTATATTGGAATATGTCAGTTAAAACTGTCAGAAAAACTTAGGTGTGAGAAGTTTCTTTTTACTTGTTGAACTGTAATATTCTTCCGTGTGGGAAATTATTAACAATTTTAAATGACTAAGTAAGTAAGTAAGTAAGTAAGTAAAGGCTTTATTTATCGAGGCTACACATTTGGTTTCCCAATCTTCCATGTGGGCCTCTAAGAAAAACATAATTTACAATATATACAACTACAATATAACAGAAATAATTGCAACAATAGTCCTGAAGAAGGTAAATTGTTGTTGTATGTTTTTTGTTTGTTTTTTTTTCTCTTTTTGTTGATTTTTGTGTCGCCTCTACGGAGTAGTGGCGACATATAGGGATCACTTCTCCGTCGTCTGTCCGTCCATCGCAAAACTTGTCCGGACTACTCCTCATAAACTACTGGTGCAATTTCATCCAAACTTTACAGGAATAATCAGTACCAAGTCAAGTTGTGCATATTGTCAGCGTTTTCTGGTTCAATGATTTTTGTTAGAGCCCTTTAATAATTTTTATTTTTAAAGTTTGTCCGGACTACTTCTCTTATACCACTAATGCAATTTCAATGAAACTTTACAGGATTGATCTGTAGCTCAAGTCCTTGCGCATATTGCACTGGTTTTCCGGTTGATCGATTTTTGGCCGAGTTATGGCCCTTTGATAAAAAGGTGTTTTTTTCTGTGTGTTGCCAGATACACAAAAGCTTGTCCGGACTACTCCTCATAAACTACTAGTGCAATTTCATCCAAACTTTACAGGAATGATCAGTACCAAGTCTAGTTGTGCATATTGTTAGCATTTTATGTTGCAATCACATCATGTTGCAATCAGACCATGTTGCAATATAATCATGTGGATGTTTTGTTGGATACATCTGATATCAACAATGACTCAGACTGGTAATTCATTGTTGATTTCTCACTTTTCATCTACGTTCAAAGAACAAATTGCCCAAGCTCTATACCAACAACAGTCAGTCCAGCTCGTATATTTTCACAACATGATCTCTTGTACAGTCTTATGAAGAAGACATTTATATTATATTTCAGAATGTTATGATTTATGATGATTACGATTTTTATCCACATTCAAATATAGTTTGACTACAGTGAAATTTTATTTTGATAATTCATTTCATTATGAAATCATCAAAATGTAAATCTTTGTCATATTTCAAATATTCTCATGAAAAACATGCAATCTAAACCAGTATGTTTATTTCAAAAAGACATTAATTAAATATAATATGTGGTGATGAATTTAACATGTTTTTTATATCTAGTCAAGGTACATAAAATTCAAGATCTGTAAAACAAAGTATCCTGTTAACAAGTGTAAAATTTACATGTGTACATATTGTACATATCATAGATATCACAAACTTAAGTTCAATAATTTAAGACGATAATATCAAGTAGATCCCCTTGATTTAAAAAGTCAGAGAAGATTTATGACTTCAAAATTTGAAATTGCTCTAAGACGTTGAACAAATTTTTCTTGTTTATAATCAAATTTTGATTTTTTTATATTATTTCTTTCTACATTATTTGATAACACTGGATTTTAAAGTGTTTGTATTTGTGCCATGAAATATCATTTTACACCCATTTATAGATGGATGGCTTGCTTAGTCTTCTGGTAGCAACTGAATATTCCCATACAACCAGTACAGATCACAATCAGCCTTTAGTCTGCTGGTAGCAATTGAATATTCCCATACAACCAGTACAGACCACAATCAGCCTTTAGCCTGCTGGTAGCAACTGAATATTCCCATACAACCAGTACAGACCACAATCAGCCTTTAGTTTGCTGGCAGCAACTGAATATTCCCATACAACAAGTACAGACTACAATCAGCCTTTAGTCTGCTGGTAGCAATTGAATATTCCCATACAACCAGTACAGACCACAATCAGCCTTTAGTCTGCTGGTAGCAATTGAATATTCCTGTACAACCAGTACAGGCCACAATCAGCCTTTAGTTTGCTGGTAGCAACTGAATATTCCCATACAACCAGTACAGACTACAATCAACCTTTAGTCTACTGGTAGCAACTGAATATTCCCATACAACCAGTACAGACTACAATCAGCCTTTAGTCTACTGGTAGCAACTGAATATTCCCATACAACCAGTACAGACTACAATCAGCCTTTAGTCTGCTGGTAGCAACTGAATATTCCCATACAACCAGTACAGACTACAATCAGCGTTTAGTCTACTGGTAGCAACTGAATATTCCGGTTCAACCAGTACAGACCACAATCAGCCTTTAGTCTACTGGTAGCAACTGAATATTCCCGTACAACCAGTACAGACAACAATCAGCCTTTAGTCTGCTGGTAGCAACTGAATATTCCCATACAACCAGTACAGGCCACAATCAGCCTTTAGTCTGCTGGTAGAAAACTGAATATTCCCGTACAACCAGTACAGACCACAATCAGCCTTTAGTCTGCTGGTAGCAACTGAATATTCCCATATGACCAGTACAGACTACAATCAGCCTTAAATCTGCTTGGTAGCAACTGAATATTCCCGTACAACCAGTACAGACTACAATCAGCCTTAAGTCTGCTGGTAGAAACTGAATATTCCTGTACAACCAATACAGACCACAATCAGCCGTTAGTCTGCTGGTAGCAACTGAATATTCCCATACAACCAGTACAGACTACAATCAACCTTTAGTCTGCTGGTAGCAATTGAATATTCCCATACAACCAGTACAGACCACAATCAGCCTTTAGTCTGCTGGTAGCAACTGAATATTCCCGTACAACCAGTACAGACCACAATCAGCCTTTATTCTGCTGGTAGCAACTGAATATTCCCAATGACCAGTACAGACCACAATCAGCCTTTAGTCTGCTGGTAGCAACTGAATATTCCCAAATGACCAGAACAGACCTCAATCAGCCTTTAGTCTGCTGGTAGTAGAAACTGAATATTCCCGTACAACCAGTACAGACCACAATCAGCCTTAAGTGTGCTGGTAGCAAACTGAATATTCCTGTACAACCTGTACAGATCCACAATCAGCCTTAAGTCTGCTGGTAGCAACTGAATATTCCTGTACAACCTGTACAGATCACAATCAGCCTTTAGTCTGCTGGTAGCAACTGAATATTCCCGTACAACCAGTACAGATCACAAACAGCACTTTGGTCTGCTGGTAGAAACTTGAATATTCCCGTACAACCAGTACAGACCACAATCAGCCTTTAGTCTGCTGGTAGCAACTGAATATTCCCGTACAACCAGTACAGACCACAATCAGCCTTTAGTCTGCTGGTAGCAACTGAATATTCCCATACAACCAGTACAGACTACAATCAGCCTTTAGTCTGCTGGTAGCAACTGAATATTCCCATATGACCAGTACAGTCCACAATCAGCCTTAAGTCTGCTGGTAGCAACTGAATATTCCCATATGACCAGTACAGTCCACAATCAGCCTTAAGACTGCTGGTAGCAACTGAATATTCCAGTACAGACCACAATGTGGAGGCGAAAAAAAAGGGGGGGGGGGAAACAGTTTATTTGTTGTCAAATTGTAATATAGTACCATTAATATTATGTCCTTAACAAAAAAATGATTTTTTTTTTAGCTCACCTGTCACAAAGTGACAGGGTGAGCTTTTGTGATCGCTTTTCGTCCGGTGTCCGTCCGTCCGTCGTCCGTCCGTAAACTTTTACTTTAAATGACATCTCCTCATAAACCACTAAGCCAATTTCATCCAAACTTCACAGGAATGTTCCTTTGGTGGTCATCTTTAAAAATTGTTCAAAGAATTTAATTCCATGCAAAACTCTGGTTGCCATGGCAACCGAAAGAAAAAAACTTTAAATATCTTCTTTTAAAAAACCATAAGAGCTAGAGCTCAGATATTTGGCATGAAACATCTTCTAGTGAGTGTCTACCAAGTTTGTTCAAATAAAAGCCCTAGGGTCAAAATTGGCCCCGCCCCAGGGGGTCATTGATTTTCCCTATATGCATATAGTAAAAACTTAAAAAAATCTTCTTTTAAAGAACCCAAAGAGCTAGAGCTAAGATATTTAGCATGAAACATGTTCTAATGAGTGTCTACCAAGTTTGTTCAAATAAAAGCCCTGGGGTGAAAATTGGCCCCGCCCCGGGGGTCATTGATTTTCCCTATATGCATATAGTAAAATCTTAAAAAATCTTCTTTTAAAGAACCCAAGGAGCTAGAGCTAAGATATTTAGCATGAAACATGTTCTAATGGGTGTCTACCAAGTTTGTTCAAATAAAAGCCCTGGGGTAAAAATTGGCCCCGCCCCGGGGGTCATTGATTTTCCCTATATGCATATAGTAAAAAACTTAAAAAATCTTCTTTTAAAGAACTCAAAGAGCTAGAGCTTAAATATTTGGCATGAAACATCTTCTAGTGAGTGTTTACCAAGTTTGTTCAAATAAAAGCCCTGGGGTCAAAATTGGCCCCGCCCCAGGGGGTCATTGATTTTCCCTATATGCATATAGTAAAAACTTAAAAAATCTTCTTTTAAAGAACCCAAAGAGCTAGAGCCAAGATATTTAGCATGAAACATGTTCTATTGAGTGTCTACCAAGTTTGTTCAAATAAAAGCCCTGGGGTGAAAATTGGCCCCGCCCCGGGGGTCATTGATTTTCCCTATATGCATATAGTAAAAACTTAAAAATCTTCTTTTAAAGAACTCAAAGAGCCAGAGCTTAGATATTTGGCATGAAACATGTTCTAGTGTGTGTCTACCAAGTTTGTTCAAATAAAAGCCCTGGGGTCAAAATTGGCCCCGCCCCGGGGGGTCATTGATTTTCCCTATATGCATATTGTAAAAACTTAAAAAATCTTCTTATAAAGAACCCAAAGAGCTAGAGCTAAGATATTTAGCATGAAACATGTTCTAATGGGTGTCTACCAAGTTTGTTCAAATAAAAGCCCTGGGGTGAAAATTGGCCCCGCCCCGGGGGGTCATTGATTTTCCCTATATGCATATATAGTAAAAACTTAAAAAGTCTTCTTTTAAAGAACTCAAAGAGCTATGGCTAAGATATTGAGCATCAAACATGTTCTAAAAGGTGTCTACCAAGTTTGTTCAAATACAAGCCCAGGGGTCAAAATTGGCCCCGCCTCGGGGGTCATTGATTTTCTTTATATGTGTTTTGCAAAAACTTAAAATCTTCTTTGAAAAAACCCAAATAGCTAAAGTTTAGATATTAAGCATGAAACATCTTCTAGTAAGTGTCTACAAAGTTTGTTCAAATAAAAGCCCTGGGGTCAAAACTGGCCCGGCCCCAGGGGTGTCATTGTTTTTAACTATATGTGTATAGTAAAAACTTTAAAAAAAATCTTCTTTTAAAAAGCCCAATGAGCTAGAGCTTAAATGTTTAGCATGAAACATCTTTTATGGGTGTCTACCAAGTTTGTGCAAATAAAAGCCCTTTGGTTAAATTGGCTCTGCAACGTTGGTGGGGGGGGGGTTGGGGGGGGGGGGCTATATACAGGTGAGTGACCTCAGGGCCATCATGGCCCTCTTGTTTCAATAAATACTTTCTTTGGAGGGAAATGACACCAAATTTTGACCCCAAATTGGCTCTTAAAATCACTGTGGTCTGTTGTTTTAAGGAGTAAAAGTATATTTCATTAATATGTAATTTTTGCTCTCTTTTCTTGTTTTGTACACAGAGTGAAATGCGGTGAAGCATGAAGTGATGCATCTTGCAGTGAATCTGGACAGGAACAAGTGAGGGACTTCTAAAAATGTCAGATTCAGAGCATACTAGTCTAATGCCTGAAACACAGGGGACCGGTGGTGGCCAAGGGGGAACGAGTAGAAAGAAGCCACCACCTCCAGACTGGGGAAAGTATGGACTTAGCCAGGAACCAGCAAAAGCTCCTTACAGTGCCAGTGTAGATACTGGAGGAGAAGCTGGGTACCAGCATGCAGACGTTGGAAATAAAAATGAACTTTTCCAGGAAGATCAGGTAATTGTTTTCAGATTGATTTTCTTTCTTTCATGAAACCACCTACACACCACCCACATGTATACACATAATCTATAAAATACCACCTACAGTAAGTAGTACACATTACCCACTACATACCACCTACATTTATACACATAACCTACAACATACCACCTACATGAATACACATAACCTACAACATACCACCTACATGAATACACATAACCTACAACATACCACATACAGGAATACACATAACCTACAACATACCAGCTACATTAATACACATAACCTACTACATACCACCTACATGAATACACATAACCTACAACATACCACCTACATGAATACACATAACCTACAACATACCACCTACATGAATACACATAACCTACAACATACCAGCTGCATGAATACACATAACCTACTACATACCAACTACATTAATACACATAACCTACTACATACCAAGTACATGAATACACATAACTACAACATACCAGCTACATGAATACACATAACCTACAACATACCACATACATGAATACACATAACCCACTACATACCAGCTACATGAATACACATAACCTACTACATACCAACTACATTAATACACATAACTTACTACATACCAACTACATGAATACACATAACCTACAACATACTAGCTACATTAATACACATAACCTACAACATACCACATACATGAATACACATAACCCACTACATACCAACTACATGAATACACATAACCTACAACATACCAGCTACATGAATACACATAACCTACTTCATACCAACTACATTAATACACAAAACCTACTACATACCAACTACATGAATACACATAACCTACAACATACCAGCTACATTAATACACGTAACCTACAACATACCACAAACATGAATACACATAACCCACTACATACCAGCTACATTAATACACATAACCTACTACATACCAGCTACATTAATACACATAACCTACTACATATCAACAACATGAATACACATAACCTACTACATACCACCTACATTAGTACACATAACCTACAACATACCACATACAGGAATACACATAACCCACTACATACCAGCTACATTAATACACATAACCTACTACATACCACCTACATTAATACACATAACCTACAACATACCAGCTACATTAATACACATAACCTACTACATACCACCTACATTAACACACATAACCTACTACATACCACCTACATTAGTACACATAACCTACTACATACTACCTACATGAATACACATAACCTACAACATACCACCTACATGAATACACATAACCTACTACATACTACCTACATTTATACACATAACCTACTACATACCACCTACATGAATACACATAACCTACTACATATTACCTACATGAATACACATATTCTTCTACATACCACCTACATTAGTACACATAACCTTCTACATATAACTTACATGAATACACATAACCTACAACATACCAGCTACATTAATACACATAACCCACTACATACCACCTACAGTAGTACACTTAACCTACTACATACCACCTACAGTAGTACACATAACCTACTACATACCACCGACATGAATTCACATAACCTACTACATACCACCAACATGAATACACATAACCTACTACATACCACCTAAGTAGTACACATAACCTACATACCACCTACATGAATACACATAACCTACTACATACCACCTACATGAATACACAATACCTACTACATACCACCTACATGAATACACAATACCTACTACATACCACCTACATGAATACACAATACCTACTACATACCACCTACATGAATACACATAACCCAATACATACCACTTAACAGAAATATGAAATTGTGTAATAAGACTGAAATTTATATTTATATGATTAATTCTCATTTTGAAAATTATAGTGAATGGTCATTTATTTCTACAAATGATTCCGAGATATAATAAACAGGCCAAGCAGAAGAGTGCATTATTACAAATATATATACATTTTACTTAAAATATAAGGAAATTGATTGATCAAATTTCATCAAATTTCTTCCATCTGTGAAGTTCAACATATATTTATCTATTCTCCTACCATTAGCATGTTAATATTGAATTAGATATCTCTATTTCTAGAGGTCCTTGTGTCTATATTTCAGAATCTCATACAGAAAATGTGGTGGAAGGCCAACTTTTTCATCAGTGAGCCAGTGTTGTTTGGTACCTGGGACGGGGTGTTTACCTCGTGTATGATCAATTTGCTGGGTGTGGTAATCTTCCTTAGGATGGGCTGGATTGTGGTAAATATATTTGAGCTGCGTCATGACAAAACCAACAAAGTGGGTTTGCGACCAGCATGGATCCAGACCAGCCTGCACATCCGCGCAGTCTGATCAGGATCCATGCTGTTAGCTTACCAACTCTATTACAAGTAGAGAAACTGATAGCAAACAGCATGGATCCAGATCAGACTGCACGGATGCGCAGGCTGGTCTGGATCCATGCTGGTTGCAAACGCACTATGTTGCTTCACAAGGGAGGTAATAAGTGCTGTACTGTTATGCACTTTGAGGGTAATTGTTGTGATTCCCATTGCCAGTAATGAGCATAAAATGTTCAAAGGAGATAGAATAAACATTGCTGTGCATTCAATGGGGTAATAAATGCCATGCTACTGTGCATTTCCAGGGAGGTAATAAATACTATGCTGCTGTGCATTTCAAGGGAGGTAATACATACTATGCTGCTGTGCATTTCAAGGGAGGTAATAAATGCCATGCTTATAATAAATATTGCTCATTGCAAGGGAGGTAATAATAGCAATATCACTGTGCATCTCAAGGGAGGTAATGAGTGCTGAGTATTAAGAATGAAGTTGTCTATGCACAGAAATGTTATGATTTATATTTACATGTTTCAGGGGAATGCTGGGATTGTTCTCACTATACTGACTATCATACTTGCCGTGCTTGTAGTACTTATAGTAGCACTCAGTGGTATAGGTGTTTGTGAGAGGTGTAAAGTGGAGAGTGGAGGGGTGTATTTTCTTATATCTCATGTCCTAGGGTCCAGAATTGGTGGCAGTGTTGGAGTAGTCTACTGTTTTGCTCAGGTATGATTTATCTTATGTTGATCAATTAATGACCTTGCAGTTAGACAGATTAGGAAATATTTGCTTGAGACTTTTAGTTTTTTTGTCTGTTAAAAGATGTTCTGATAAGATACATGTATTTAAGAAACCAAGACATTTTTGAAAAGCGATGTGAGCAAGAAAAATTTTAACTGCAGTTCCATGATAAAAAAACAACAAAAAAACAACAACAACAGAAATTACTCATGTGGTAATGTTACAAGAGAATTATTGTTAGTTATGATTTTAATATCTTTGACTAGTTTGACTTTTAGTACCAATTATGTTTAAAGAATGATTCTTCTTGCACAGTGGATACTGCATTAGGTTTACAGCACAGTTCTGGGACTTAGATCAAGTTCTTGACTTGACGCATGTTTTTTACCTGACAATTTCATCATTGACAATATATGTAGTGTCTCTGAAAGCCTTTGCTATCTAGCAATTGACGTCAAGTTCTTTGTTTGTAATTTCAAAATTTCATAAACTTATGAACATTTAGACTGAAGATGGTGAAGTATTATAGAGCAATTTATAATACTGCATGTTTGTAATATCACTTTTTATTGGATAATCGTGACATTTATATAGTTTTATATACTCGAATGCTGTCAATTTATAAAGAATTGTCACTTTTTCTAAAAAAAGAAGGAGAATTGCTATATTATAAATTTGTTATAAATATTCCTGACATGTTAAATGACCATAAAAAATGGTTGTTTGCATTATAACCTTCAACAGCCGTTTAAATAGGGCCATATAACCTGACAAAAATATTTGTAACAAATTATATAAATATTATGCCATACAAATGTACCAAGTTGGTATCACTGCTTTGCTCTGTATTTTAGCATGTCTTTGACTAAAACTGAGATCAAAAATCGATGAAGACTTATAATAAGCATGGTTGTAATGAAAGTAAAATACTATCATATCCTGAAAGTAGAAACATACTAACCCAGTTACCTTTCTGGCGTTGGTTGTATCCCCGGGAGATGCTTTGGTAGTTTAGCACGGAGGAAGGTAGTCTAGTACTGGTGTAACTCTCCAGGAATGATGGTTATGAAACTACCCGCCTATATGACTGAAATACTGTTGGGAAAAGGGGTAAAATGAAACAAACAAACAAAACATGCTGGTAATGCTGCAAATAATTTTTTTTACTGACACAGGCTGTGACATGCTCTCTGTCAGTTATGGGTTTTGGTGAATCAATAATGGGGCTGACAGGCATTAACAATCCTTGGATCGCCAAAGGCGTTGCTATTGCCCTTGTTATTCTTCTTTTAGGTAAGTGTTTATTTTTTTTTTGAGATTTAAAATAGTCTAGATTATGTTTGTAGGCTTGTAAAAAGGATTATTTTGTTGATATGTTATAAGATTAAGTGTAAAGGTATGTTGAGGTTAGATATATGTGATTATGTATGTAGATAATTATGTTAAGGGATTTTTTTTTTGGGGGGGGGGGGGAGGAGGGGGAGAGAGGGGTTGGGTCACACCAACACAGTAATGGCCATATGGCAACTTTCCAGCTTGACTGAGGAACACCTCAGGTGCCCTTCCATGCATTATTTCAGTCACAAATGGGCACCTTATCTCAGAGCCAGCAACATTCCGTAAGCTATCTGGATAGCTTTCTCACATGAAAGAATCTAAGGTCTCTGTAGGGATTCAAACCAACAGATGTGAAGGGCAAGTGGTTTGAAGTCAATGACCTTGGGCACGGATGCCCCTATGTTATGGGATTATGTGTGTAGGTATGTTATGATATGTCTGTAAGTATGTTATGATATGTGTGTAGGTATTTTATAATAAATGTGTAGGTATGATATGATATGTGAAGGTATGTTTTTATAAATGTGTAGGTATGTTATGATATGTGTAGGTATGATTTGATAGTGGTATGTTTATGTATGTTAGGGATATTTTATTGTAGGGAGTTTGAATTTTTCAGAATTTTTGAATTGGATATGTTATGA